CCCAGCAGCCTGGCACTTGTGGCTTCCTTCCACTGGTAACCTGCTGTGGGTTTTGGGGGGTGGGAAGTTCTGGCTTTGCCCTCCCTGTTTGGTTTCCAGTGACAATGGATCCTCCTCGTGCTCTGCAGCAGGGCAGCCCAGGCTGGGAGCAGCCCCCCGGGATGTGCCCACACTGCCCGCACCGGGGGCGTGAGGGGCCTGGCGAAGGCAGCGAGCTCTGCGGGACACTGCTGCCCTCCTGCCCTGTCCCTGGGACGGCACCAACCCTGGGCTGAAAAATCCCTGATCCCTTCCTTGGTCGCTGTCCATGCAGGTTTCCACCCGCTCAGCTGCCGCGCACTGTTCCCTGCCCCGGTCCCGGCCCTGGAGGTGCAGTGTGTGATGCTTTCCCCCACAGCCAGGCTGGGGATGTTTCCCGGACCCTGAAGGTCGCCCTGCCGATGTCACATCACCGCACGGCACCTGCGGGGCAGCACAGCCTGGCCGGGCGCGGGGCTGCGATGCAGCAGCGCGGGCCCCTTCGTGCGCCGACCTGCGTGTGGACCAGGGGCAGGGGCGGGAGCGCCCGAGCGGGGATGTTCAAGCCAGGGTTGGCCCGGTTTTGTCCCGGCCACATCCTGCGGGTGCGAGCAGGGCCAGCTCATCCACGTGGAGCTGCCGTTCCCCTGTCAGCGCGGCTGCGTGTCCGGGTGCCCCCCCGTGCTGTGTGTGCCCCTGTTGTGAGCAGCTCTGGCAGGTCCTGGGTGCTGGTGCAGGAGTGGGTGAGTGTCCATCACCCCCGGGTGTTCCCGGGGCCATCTGAGAGTTGGTGGGGAGTGAGCAGGGTGCTGTGGACTTGGCTGCAGTTGGGAGCTGGTGGGGTGTCCCTGCTCCCACCCCCCAGTGCTTCCTGCCTGAGGCCATGGGGCTTCCCTCCTCCCAGGGAAGAGAGAATCCCGGGCTGGCAGCATGACAGGAGGATCAGCTTGTCCCTGCTTTGCACTGCTCTGCCATGTCTTGGGCATGAAGGGTCCCTGTGTGATGTTCTCCTTTCTGTCACCCTCCTTTTGTCAGACTGACCCATTCCCTGCAAGCAGTGATGCTGCTGCAAGGGCACTGCAGTGCTCTGGGTGTCCCTGGAGGGGTCTGTCAGGCCAGTGGGCCTCAACAGGGTCTCGGCACCTCCCTGTGCTATACCCCATGGTGCAGGGCAGTGCAGAGCACCGGGCAGGGGGCTGAAGGGACTGGCTGTGTAGCCTTGGCCGTGTATCACTTCTCCTCAGTGTACCCTGCTGGCTGCAGGCAGGGCAGGGCAGGGCAGGGCATACCTGGGTCATGGCAGGGAAGAGCTGCTCTTGGTGAGGTCTGTAGGGTACAGGGGTGGGTGAACTGCCTGGCTCTGTTACATGGAGGTGATGTTTGGGGACGTGAAACATCAGCTCAGCCATAAACCCGCTGATGGGATGGGGAGCTCCCAGGTGAGTTCCCCAGGGACAAATTGGGAAAGCTGGCTCCATCCTTGGAGCTGCTGAAGTACGTCACAGTGAAATACTTAATCCTGTCCTTCTGGCAGGGCACAGGGCTGGGTAGTGGGGAGGGGGTGGGTGTGCTGGCTGCAGAGGCAGTGCTGTCTGCCCGTGGTGGCCGCGGGCGTGTAGTGATGTGTGCGCTGCGGGGTCGGGGTGTGCGGAATCGCACTGGAGCTGAGCCCCATGGCTGTGTAGCTCCCGTGAGGCTTTCCATGCCCTGGGGACATCCTCGTGCAACCCTGGGACTGCTGTGGTCTGGGGGTGTCCCTTCAGGCCTAGATTTTTGGAAAGAGAGGTGGCATTGCATCTGCATCCCACTGCAGTGGTGACAGCATCTGCACCCCCACAGAACTGCTGTTCCACAGAGCCCCGGGACAGGCTGCCCAGGGAGGCTGTGGAGTCTCCTTCTCTGGAGACTTTCAAGACCTTTCTGGACACGTTCCTGTGTGATCTGCCCTGGGTGTTCCTGCTGCAGAAGGGAGGTTGGACTCGATGATCTTCAGAGGTCCTTCCAGCCCCTCTGATTCTATGATTCTGTGATTCTGTGAAGCTCAGCACAGCCCTGGCTCCATTCATGGGCATGAAACATGGCAGCAGCCTTGGACATGGGGACTGCAAGGCAGCTCGAGCATCGGCACGTGTGTCCAGCTCACAGGACACCTTGGGCACTGCCCTGGGCCACAACAATGGCGCTGCTGGCAGGCAGGCACTGCAGGGCCTGTGGTCCCCTCCGGTGGGGCTGGGGGCTGCCAGCAGCATCCCCCCCAGGGAGGCTGTCCTGC